AATCAGATATAATCATGTATAAAAGATAATTTAACATGCTAGATTTTCTATCATACATCTCTTTTAAATGTTGTTCTAATATTAATAGTAATCGCTTTGTTAAAGATGTTAAATATTAGAAAAAAGTGTCATATAAAAATATTAATTAGTTATACACTTATGCATAAAATTGCATTCATGCATAAAATTTGCTTTGCATTGATAAAGAACTTCTCCAGTTTTGGTAATAAGTGTGTCTAGCAGCAGCAGCAGCGGAATGTGATGATTGAGAATAAAAAGACGATCCGTCATGTAGGCGGTGATTAGCATGATCGCAGGAATGTAATATCAGGCCGCACAAAAAAAAATTAGGATGAAGCAGGTACAAACTGAGAGTGGCCGGAACGCGAACGCTACTGCATGAGTCACTCTCACGAGTCGTGACTCATGAGAAAATCGTTGGTGGAATCCGTGAAAACGTAAAACTAATCGCGCATCCGACGTTATATGAATAATATGTACAAATAACTCTATCAGAAATTTTGATTGTAAACATTTTTCCCTTTCTCCTATCTCTTTTTCTTTTCTCGTAACGCTACATACTGCACGTTAAACTAATCGCTTAAGCTGAACGAATAATCCACTTGTAATAGATTGACAACGATGTTTCAAATGAAAACGCGAAAATTTCCAGGTTACTCGAGACATTAAAATGCTATCAGAAAAAAATAAAAAATTTGAAGAATTATCTGCATATGCATCAAAAACTTCGTTATGTTACAACCAATTTCATTAAATAATGATAAAATATATACCGTTTACGCGGATTACTTTTTCGGTGCAAAGTCTTAGACAATTTGCTATTTATATTTTATAACGGTTAAACATTCTATCGAAAAAGATTATAATAATTTGCTTTATATTTCATATAAATGTGATTGTGCGAATATAAATTGAATAATTTAAATTGCACGCTAAATGTGTATGTATGCTCAGATATTTATGTGACGCGCAAATGTTAAATTTTATAGCAATGAATCATTCATTTATATATTATCAATCGTGTTATTAATCATGCAGATAAATTTATGCATACCTTATCAATATAATTTATTAAATAATGAAACAAAATTCTCATCTTATATTGATGTTTGATATACATATTGATATTTGATATGCAAATTACATTATAATAAAAGAAGAATTTATAGATTAAGTATATGTAAAATATTTTTACATTTCTTTAACTATATATGGAAATTATTTTTATTATATTTATGTATTGCGTTAAATTTAAATTAAATTTTGCGATTAATTAGTTTTTAAATTGTGTACATAATACACAATTAAACAAAAGAACTATATATACAATAGATGTTGTATACATAATCTAGAAGAAAAAATTTAATTAGTTTAATGCGCGATAATTGAGAATTATGTATTTCGTCTTTTCAAAATATTAAAGTTTTAATTTAATTTAATATAATAAAGATGTTTAGAAACTAAAATGTAATAAAGGATAGATTGATAGAAGGCAAGAATTCTTCTGAAATTATCAGATTATTGCATAAAGTATTTATTTTAGCGTTTGGTGTGATATCATCTATTGTTTTAATATTTTATTACTTTGCTTATATTTTTTAAAATTTATGTTTTAATAACACAAAATAAAGAAGAAAAGGGAAAAAGAAAAAAATGTATTGCTTCAATAATTATTGCAAATACTAACAGAGAGATTCACTAGCAACTTTGCCTAAAAATTATTTATGCGTTTCGATGAAATAATAAACGTTTATTCGTAATAAATTATTATATTATTTATTCATAAAATTAAATAATAAATAATTTAAATTTTGGACCCATAAATGCTTTATAATGTCAATGGAGACATCTGTAGAACAGACGATTAACCCGTTTGTACACCTACGCAGAAATAGTGAGTCAGATCCTATGTTAGAAGACACGCATATTAGCATAAAAAAAGAGACGTTTGTATATTTCTGTGTGTATGTATTTGCGTGGAAGTTACGTTATAGTAAACTCCTTTACCGATTGACAGATTCTCCTCTATCGACTACAGAAAAAATACGATGTAGCATGAAATTGCGTCGTGAAAAATATGCACATGAGAATACAAAGTGTATACATTTATAGTTTGGTGCTAGAATCATTATCTTACGGCGACACGACAATTTGTAATAAATCATGCAGTGCATACTGATAAGCCATTTTACAAACGCAATATTGATATTACATAAAAAAATTGTAATACAAATTGCATCACTAAGTTACAAATACGAGTTCACTCAAAAGTGATAACAAGCAATCAATGCAGACATAGATAATATTATTCTGTAATTAATTCGAAAGGCCATTAAAGCTAAAAATGATAAATGTAAAATATACTTTTAGAATATAAAGAAGATGTATATAGAAGATGTGTATGATATTGTATTTTTGAAGTTACGTTTAATATTCTAAATTAATTTATATAATCTTAAGCAGTAATCAATTCGGCCACAATGTTTTCAAAAAAATCTGTAATTTATTTTGCACAAAAATATTAATAATTTATTAATTGTAGAATTCAATGTTACATAATTATTAAAATAAAAGGTGGATGATTTTAAATGTACACTTAAGCGTACAAGAAAATTATTCTAATTAGATAATTTTTGACAAAGTGTATTAAATTATTTTTCGAGATTTTACTGATGTTGTTGCGAACACAACAAACGAAGATAATTTCTTACCTTCTTCTAAAATAACTTATACATATACTAAATGATGATGTGAACTGAATTGATGTAAATAAATAAATGCACAAAAATCGAAATATTGCACAGTATCCACTAGAAAGAAGAAAAGGGATGAACGCGAATACAGACGTCCTGTGCTTGCGGCGCCAACACGACGGACTAACTGCATGACATTGCTTCGAGTCGGGCACGACTTATCGATTTTATTCTTAGTGTAGACCTCCGGAAGAACTTGTCCCAATTATCGTTACAATACTATCTATTATCGCAATTACTTGTTTAATTTGAATTAAAAATATTTATTTTTTTTTATGAAAAACGTTACGAAACTAAACATAGTAAGTAACAATATAGTAAGAAAATATATATCGATAAAAATATATGTCGATAAAAATTTCTTCCTCATATAATTGTTGAAAAGTATTATATATCAATTTGTCAGAAATGCAAGATCGAGAACAAAACGTAGGAGAAGGCATTCCGCTCTAGATGATCCATTTTTCTTACGTATAAATATCAAACAAACACAATTAAAATTTTCCGTTGTTTCTATACTTTTGATATTACGTTTATTATTATTTTCTGAGAAGCTATTCGTTTTACAGCTTTAAATATATGTCTTAATTGGTCGATGTATGTCTAGTTTGTGTTTTTATTCGCCCACACAATATAGTATTAATATATAGTATCAATTAGTAACATCAGAGAAAATTTCTAGAATTTTCTTTTCGTCATGTTTTAAAAATAAATGATATAAAAACAGAAGTAGTTTTAGATAAAAAAATGCGCATTTATATCTTTATGAATTCCGATTTATGTGTCATTTCTGACGTAAAACAAAACGTGAATGAGCGAGAAACATTTCTACGATAATTTTTTTATAATATTTTTTTACTCACATATTGCATTTAAAACTAAAACTATATATGTATGATCTAATCTAATACTTTTTTCATACAAGTCTTTTCGCAATTAACTGTCTCAATTTTGCCGTCTCAACTGTTTTTGATATTTTTTATACAGATAAGCAATTTTAAAAACGCAATATATACTCTCGATGTATGTGTATGCAACGTATATATAAATGCACATATATGTCACAATACGCAAAAAATTATAAAATATAATTACTGATAAATTATATGAAAAATTGATTTTTAACGGAAGATATAAAAATATGAACACACATTGCAAGAAATAATTTTCTTAAGGTCAACATCTGCATGATAAAGCGATACTTGTGATTACGCAATTACGCGGAAACATATCCTGAATAATTAAAATTTGATTTACGATTAGACACGCATTGAATAAACTTCTTTTCTTTTTCGTTATAAGCAAAATAGCATAAAATTGTCGATTAATTCCTATACTATTCGAGGTATAATTTATAGACATATAAAGTACCTTTTATATTTTTAAAATATAATAGTAATGAAACAAATTGTGTTGATAATAAGAGTTTTATAATAATAAAATAAATTTATTTTATATATAATGTATAACTATCTCTTTTGTATTAGACTAATATGTTGTATCTTCTGTGATTTTAATTATATTCAATTGTAGATATAATTCCTTGACATGCCATGTGATTATCACATGGTATTTAGGTCGTTCACATGAGACATTTATATTGTCACAATTGAATTCATTAAACATCACACTAAGGTTAATGAATGGCTGCTTTGTACGTGATATCATCTGTGTATCAAAGTCGAAACTAACCAAAAATAAATTTGCTTTAAATCATTAATAAATTTCGAATTTTATTAAATTATATTTTAAATTTACATAAAAGCTACCATGTTTCCAGAGAAACAACAATTATTTTTAAGCTTTTTTATATGTAAATTTTAAGAGTAACTTTTTTTTGTTTATATATATAATTAAAAGAGAAATTATACCTTAAGCAAATTAAGAAAGACATAGTTAGTTCTTTGATTAACTACATCCAATATAATGATATTAAGTAAATGCTTAAAAAAATACTTCATAATTTTTAAAAATAATCTCAAACTTTAATTAAATTAGTTATAAAAGTACTCATTCCTCAATGAGGAAAACTGCAATAATAAATACGAGCATAGATTGTGTTTGATAATCAAGTGAATCAAGTCAATCAAGTAGCCGTAAGTATATATAAACAAATCAGTCACGTGTCGAATCAAGTCGATCTAATGAATCAACTATGTATAAATTCTTACAATCAGAAACACACATATATAGCACGTTCAATTAAAATTCCATAAAATGTCTTACTTTTCTCTGTATCTCGATCAGAGGGTTCCTTGATGCCAAGATTAATCAAACTGCTATAGATCGGAATCTCTTGCACTCAGTTTGGAATCTTCCACGGCGATATGCACAGACAGGAAGCAACCCGACGAACGTGAACGTACTGCGACTTCGCGGCGCGACTCGCGATGTTCCTCACGCAGCTGGTATCTCCTCAAGGACGGAGTAACGGTGTCACCGGCGCGAACGGCACCTTCGCGTATGATGGATCCACGAGGTGGCTTTTTTTCACCTTGACCGGTGGACCACTGATCTTTTCCTTAAGGATCACTCGCGACGAAAAAAACAATACGAGGACGAATTTTTTGTTTCGCGAAAACGCGAGACTAGGAAGTAGCCTAGTGTTGGACTAGGAAGCTCGTGAGTAGCGAACAGAATGATCGTAGAATGTACTGCCGTGGCGAGAGAGACCGTAGAGAATAACGCGGTTGAATATATCGGTCTAGCGGTTTGTCGGTATTGGTATGAGAATGTATAGGTGCCTCCTCCGCGTAATACATAAATATGCGTCTTTGATGTGTGATCGCGTGGTGGGGCCTTCGCACGTGTTCCGTCTCTTTCTCTCGCTGTATTTATTTCTCTCTCTCTCTCTCTCTGTCTTCCTTCTTCTGAACAAACTTTATATATACATGGAAAGTCGCGTGCAGAGACGTATGCATGAAACCCACGCAATATACATACGCGCACGAGATCGTACCTCGGAAAGCAAGGAATGGAGACAGTAAACACGCCAAATTTCTAGTACGTAACAATGATAATAAAGCAATATGAATATTTAAATTCAGTTTTTATTTTTATCATAATAGTTTTTGCTACAGAACAGACGTTTTGCATATAAATTATAAAAGTATGCAAATTTAGATTCTAAAGCGTCTAAATATTATAGATGCTAAATATGAAAAATGTGTTAATTAATAAACGTAATATATTTATTAATAACTGTTTCATATTTTAATATATTTTAATTTTGCGATTAAAAATTTATGTAATCCGAATAAACCTCAGGACATTAATAAAAAAATTAATTTTTCGCTGATATTAACATTTTATTAGAATATCTGTTTGTGTATGTACAAAAATGCTGTGTAATAATAATAATACTATATTTTATTTTGACATTTTAATGAATGCAATCCACATATAAGTAGTACAACAGAATTGCATAGGAGATAGAAGTTATACCAAGACTTACGTAATAATTGCTAATCAGAATTTACTAACCGCTCTAAAAACATCTATTAACAAAACAGGTTTATGTGCACATAAACTTCCTTATATACATATATAGTTAAATATACTATAGAAAATGTGAATTGTTATATCATCTCTATAGTTTATATTAAAGATTTATATCAGATTAAATTTTTAATGTTCAATAGATTTTAAATAATAAAATAATAATCTGTATTATAAAAATTTAAATATTTAATTGAATTAATTAATTAAATACAATAATTCTACTATTTCTTCAATCTTACTATTTAAAGCCAATAGATAAAATATTTAATATTTTTAATAACAAGCAAAAATTATATTAAATTTAACTTAAATGTTATTCTTCTTATATTCAATCAAAAACATATTACATTTAAAAACTGTTATTTTGAAAATGTATATCCAAAAATTAAATACCTCAGTAATTTTATATATGACAACAATTATTAACTATTAACACTATTAACACTATGTGTTATTACAATCCGTTAGTTATTTTTAATTTATAAATATTTCGAGGAAAAACTGCACGCGCAAGCATAAAATCGGTTTATACAGAGTTATATGAGATATTCTATATATATTTTTTTCAGTTGTTATAAGAATGAATTGCATGTTAATTTGCTGCAAAAACATCACACAAGAAAGAATTCTTATGATCGGTTTAAATTTAGAGGTCTAGGAATTTACTTCCAGATAGTCCCTGTTTTCATGCATACCTAGATCTAAAATTAAACTAGCACACTTTGGGTTAAACCGATCGTATACTTAGCATGTTTATTACAAAACGTTTAGTACAAAATTAGAAAACGCGATAAAATTCTAAAACATAACTTTTTACCCAATTTGATAAATCAGAAATATAGGGCGAAAAATATAGCCAATCAATAAGGATTATCAACCAAAGCAGTCTGAGTATGCAAGCTTATACAGAGTGTCCGGTAACTAACGGACCAACGATTACAAATGAATTCTTTTTTGTATGTCTTAATAGACAGTATACAAGCTTGTATTAATAGTCTGATTTAATAGGGAATCAATTGCCTATTAAATCAGCCTATTAAGACATATAAGCTTGTATACTGCCTACATTAAGACATATAAGCTTGTATACTCAGACTGCTTTGGTTGGTAATCCTTATCGATTGGTTCGTTGAATATCATGAATATTCTCCCTTGTTTGTAGTATTAGTAATAAGAGATATTGCTTTGTTAAAACATTATAGCGCATGTGATTAAGCTAATGGATTTTTTAATAATTTCTACAGAAATATATTTCCGTGCTTCTTCGTTGCGTAAGATGTTTCACAGCCCGTAAACACGAGAAAATTATCGCGCGGAAGGATGAAAGGGGTAACTGTTACAACAGCTATAATAGCAAATTCTTTTCGGTAGTTTCTGCATCTGGCGCGGCGTGAAAAAATTGTACCTCGTTGGTACGCGCGTGATTGCGTTGAATTATGATATCAGTTTTGGTAATAAGTGGACTTTTTTGAGCATTAGCATTAAAATAATTGTCGACCTGGCAAATAAAAACATAAGTAATAATGAGTTATATTATTTTTTTTATTGTACACGAAAATAATTTTCTTTTAGAATTTAACTTGAAAATCATGGTAATTGTAGGACATGTTATTATACACACACACACACACACACACACACACACACACACACACACATGTCTAATATTAAACGCAAAAGAAACACATATAATAAGGCCAAATATCGAGTACTCTCAACTGCCTGACTCGCGTAAAGAGACACGGCGTGTCTTTTTCTTTCTTTTTCGGACTTACTTAGCACAAGACACTATCGTGTCTCTTGATTACACAAATATTTTAATAACATAATAATAATTTCATATTTAATTAAATAATTATACAATATTAATTATGTAATAATATATATGTATTAATTATTAATTATGTAATAATATATATGTATAAATAACAAGAAACTTTTTTGTTAGAAATAAAAGATAGTAAAACATTTTATTTGAGAATATAACTATCTTGTCTAATCTATTGCAATTTTCTCAAATATATTTTATTTTTGTTTGTTATACAGTAGCTTTTATACGATAATAAAGTCTGAATCTTAAATTTAAGGCGTAAAGTAAAATAGAAATTGATTATTCTATGCCGCAAATGCTATGCATTATTCTGTATTGTTTTGTATTGCTCTTGAAAGCGTAGACTCTTGAATCGTTTGGAGACCTTTGAAATATAGTTTCTTAGGAGAATGCTTCGAATTTCTTAGGTAGAAATTAGGTCTGTTCCTATTGACTGAATTGGCTGCACTAGTTCCGAGTTTATCTTTTTACTCCACATTGACCAACAGGGAAGTCTTACAGAAAGCAATCATAGAGTTTCCTCCGACAGTTAAGCGAAGGAAGTTGAACTAGCTTTGATACATCTTGAGAGGGAAGAAGTCCTACTTTTTATAGTTGATCATGAAAAATTGCTAACATAACGTCAATAAAAGGTCAGCAAAAAACAAATGTCCTAGTTAAGGAATATCTACAAGTGAATCAGGTTTGTAAAGGCAGAATAATTTGTTAGACTGGCAGAGAACGAAGTCACATTCATGCTAGTGTTCGCCATAATCGAAGAGATTAGGTACGACACGTGTATTAAGAAGAAGTACTTATATTTACAAAATGTAAAATTATTTTGCGTAATTATGCATAGTCATTAATTATTGCAAAAAATATTAGAAAAATTGTGTTGATCAGATATTTTTTATGAGATCAGTATATTTCCGACAAACCTATAATTTTTTTCGGTTGATTGATTTTTCCAGATAATTCTGTTGATATGACTTTAGTTATACAATCATATTTTTGCATGACATTTCTATTTTAAATTAAATGGAAATTTATACAATACAATATTTTATAAGTGTTTTTCTTAAACAGTATTTTTTCGCGTGATCTTATCAACAATGTTGGATCATTAAATCGAGCAATTATTCAATATTAAATTATGTAATCTATTCGATTAATTTCCATATATTAATGATTACCGCGATAGTAAAACCAGATTACGATTAGATATGCTAAATATGATTAAAAGTGTTTTTACTTGAAATACAGTAATCAATGCTTGAATCCTTTATTTTTAAAATAATACAAATCGAAAATGATGTTATTTTAGATTGTAAGTATTGATAATACTGTAGCAATTTCTGCGTTGAACCAATAAGCTATTATTGACATTAAAGTTTAAATGTAATTTTATCATCAAACTTTAATCTTTTATTAACAGTTTTAAGAGATTACAGTTTATTGTTCAATGCTTACTTCGATTATGAAAACTAATGCAAATTTTCAAATAATGATAAAAAAATCTCATTTTTAATATATGAAAAAATTAATTTATTTCATAAAAAGTTATTGAAATTTAATTATATGTATATGTTTAAAAAAATTTATATCTGGCCATTATTTTTCATTTGCAATAAAAAATATAAAATATACATTTTTTAAAGTTGTTAACAAAGTAAAAATTCAAATTGTGCGAATTATGTCGTAAAAATTATATTTATCAAATCTCTTTTCTTTTAATAATCTTGATCGCAGCCACACGCGTAATATAGGTGCGAACCTGTTGATCATTATCGGAAAATGCACGCGCTGCGTATGAATAATTTATTTAGAACTTCAGAACCTAGTGAGCTATTGCTTTATCCGTCAGAAAAGGCAGTTGGTTTCGGTTCGTTCAGCTTCGTCACTTCGTAGAAAAGCTACGAGGTCGTCTCGTAACTCGATCCCGGGAAGCGATTCCTATGAATTTTCATGATTTGCTAGAATAGACGGCAGTTTACGCAGAACCAGTCCAGGTTTCCGCGAGTTTAGTCTCGCACACAGCGCGCGCGGGAAGTATTCTATGGGAAATACACACCTTGCCCCAGAAAAAACGAGCAACGTTATTCTATATGTACATATATTGTTTTCCCTTTCTTTGCATATGCATTATGCAATGCATATGCAATATGTAATAACTAATAAATGCATTACATGTCAAAACACATATACACAGCACACAAAATAAGCTTATTAATCGTTATATTTACTATGTGATATGTATGTGATGTTATAATGCTTAGTACATGATATAGTCTATAAAATAAATACATATATTTGTTAAAATATATATGAATTAAATATGTTTTTCTGATGTAACTCTTTTTGTGCCCAGTATATTAACATAAATATATAATATTTAATGTTATAATTCGAATATTGA